TGCTTCCAGATAAGGTTCACACCCTCTTACATCCCAATTAATCTACTACGTCTTGTAATCTGAGTTTGTACCCTCTGTGCTTTCTGTTCTGCGGTTTTCTGAGTTCTCTGTGACTTTGGAGAAGGGTGTGTGTGAATGCTGTCCAGAGACTGTGAATCTGTTAACCCTCTCTCTTCCAGTGTTTCTTTTCCTAGCTGTTCTCCACCCAGTATTTCCCAGCTTTTGTCTTCTGAACTATGTCCCTCTGCAAACCACTGTTCCAAATCTATACTGTCTTCCTGCTCCTAGGAAGATTCAGGAACCAGATCTGGGGTAGGGGGAGGGGGAGGGGGAGGCTCCCACCATTCCTCATCTGTGCAGCCCTCTTCAGCACGGTCCTTGACACCCTCCGTTTGAAGGACTGTCAGCCCAAGGCCAGTTTAAAGACAACAAGAACAAAAATAATGGGAAACAGGGCCCCTGAAGCTGCCCATCAACAGTTAATACCTGGACAACCTCCTGGCCACTCTTGCGCTTTTCTGTTTGAATGTCCATCTACACCTACCCATTCCCAGATATCGACTGGTGTTGCAGGACAACAGCTTCCATCAACCCTGAGAGTTGGCCATGCCACGTACCATTGCCACAATGTAGGGGCAGCCAGTCCGGCAAAGCCCTGATGTTAGACTTCAGTTCTCACCAGCCAGTCAGCATGGCCAACTGTTAGAGATGATGGAAGTTGTTGTCCTGCAACATTGGGAGGGCATCACGTTAGCTACCCATGCCTTAATGGAATAGTTTGGGTGACATAGATTGGTCCCTGCATCTTTAAGAGTGTTCCTAGTGTGCGGTGGAGATAGTTGAATGTCTCCCTTGCTGCAAGTTGTTCTTCATTGGCTTGGGCTCCTGCAGTTATGATTTATATGGTCTCTGAGGCAAGTTATCCTGAGACCTACAGTGTTTGCTGTATATATAGGCTTCATACGGATCTGAGTGTCTTCCTTATAATTTATTTACTCACGAAGCGGATGGGAAGGTATTTCAGCAATGCACGACAAGTACAGACCCCACCGTAACCTCAGTTTAGTCCCAAAATCTCCTGCAGCTCTTGGCGCAAGGAAGTCAAAGCTGCTCCTTTCTTAATCTCTGATTAGAAGTTCCTTTTCCCGTTGTGGGTAGGTGTGCCTTCCAGGAAAGTGTTGTGCATTCAACCGACATTTCAGGGCCCCCACCACCCAAGATGGTTTAGTAGATCATGAGGCAATTCATCATATACTTGCTAGAGTCTTGAGAGACAAAGGAAGTACTTCTTTCACATATCTATATATTTTAATGGATGGCTACAAATTAGACAAATCCAAGGGGGATATGTTGATTGTTCCCTCTATTTCTGATTGTCAGGGTGTGAGTATCATTTGTTTTGTAGCCCAAATTGCACAACCAATGCACCAGAGGGAAATATTAGTAGGTTTGTGGAGAACCCCAAGGTTTGCAGAAGTACAAAAAACTTTATGGGGTGGGGAGAAGCCCATGGGAAAGTCTCACCACTGAAGGCTTAGCAGTCTCCGTTGTCGTAGAATGATAGACGAATGTGGCTGCATACATGCCATATATTTAAAGCACAAGATGTCCCCCTCCAAAACCCCTAGGAACTGCATTTAGCTAAGGCCTCTGGGAGTTGTAGCTCTGTGAGGGGTGAAGACTAGAGTTCCCATGATTCTTTGAGACGTCTTGCGTGTACACAGCCTGTGTGAGTGGCTGGAGGAGAAACTGAGTGAAGGGGCTAGAATTCTGAACAGCAGTCCTTCACAGTGCAACATTTTATTACAGCTTTTACCTGTCAGTAGCCATGATGGCTAAGGGTTTAGAAGAAGGGGGGTTTCCTTCTGAATTTTCACTGCTAAGGCCTAAACAACAGAGGATGTTTGTCACCTTTATATCCTGTTCGAACTTTCTGAAGGCATATAACTGTGTTTGAAACTTACTGCGGAACTCAAAAGACCTTTGATCTGAGCTTTATGGTCATCTTCTTATGTCCACGAAGTTCCTTCTGTTACCATGATTCTGTGCTTCTTTAGTCAAGGGCTTCCCACTCTGACAGTTGTTAATGCCGGCTATTAATTGAACTGTGTGAAGGTTGTGTCAGAAGCACATTAGGTTGTAAATCATGTGTCTGGTAGAAAAGAGTTTATGATTTCTATTTTTGCCATGAACAGGAAATTGGGTTGGAAGGGATTCAGGTATTTTGTGTGACGTGAACGTAACTTAACTTTATCTAGCAGCCTCAAAAGCGGGCAAGCAAGCAAGCAAGCAAACAAGCAAACAAAAAAAACCCTATGCCAAACCCAAACAAACAAACTCTGCAAACAGTTTGTCACCCTTTTCAATGCCAAAGATATCAATTCATGCACACTTGTACTGATGCCGGTGTGCACAAATAGACAAGATATAGATTATGAGATAGACAAGTGGATATAAAAGCATCTTAAACGCTGGGGCTGCAGACACACCATATATTTAAAGCACTTGGCTTCCCTCAAAGAATTATGGGAATTGTAGTTTATTAAGGCTGCTGGGAATTGTAGGTCTGTAAACTGCAGTTCCTGCAACTGGACTTTACCTACCACAGATCTACAATTCCCAGCAGCCTTAACAAACTACAATTCCCAGAATTCTTTGAGGCCATGTCCTTTCAATGTGTTTTAAATGTACTGTATGCTGTGTACGCAGCTTTAGGGGCCATTCCTTCTCAAGTTTTATTGTGGGTGTGTTCTGCAGTGTCCTTGACACAGTAACTGGGCATTGGCAGTGAATTTGTTAAGCTTTGATTTCTTCTGCAATGCTACCACAATTGGTTGCACTGCAGCCCTTCCAGCCCGTGATAAAGTGAGACAAAAATGAACTTGAATATTTCAACTCTTCATGGAAGAGTTCAATTTACCAAGGCCTGGGGGCACATACCTCTGGGTGGCAGTGGGAGATCATTCCAGAGTTCAGGTCCCACTACAGAGAAGGCCATTCTATGTGTTCCCTCCTTCATCCCCCAATCGCAGTGGCAATCAAGAGAAGAGTGTGCCTTGTCAGGATTGAGTTGGTTGGTAATGAAGGGGCTTCTCTTACAGATACTTGGATCATTGAGTTGTTTAAAGGTAAAGGGACCCCTGACCATTAGGTCCAGTTGTGACCGACTCTGGGGTTGCAGCGCTCATCTCACTTTATTGGCTGAGGGAGCCGGCGTACAGCTTCCGGGTCATGTGGCCAGCATGACTAAGCTGCTTCTGGCGAACCAGAGCAGCGCACGGAAACACCATTTACCTTCCCACCGGAGCGGTACCTATTTATCTACTTGCACTTTGACGTGCTTTCGAACTGCTAGGTTGGCAGGAGCAGGGACCGAGCAATGGGAGCTCACTCCGTCGTGAGGATTCGAACAGCTGACCTTCTGATCAGCAAGTCCTAGGCTCTGTGGTTTAACCCACAGTGCCACCCGCGTCCCCACTGAGTTGTTTAGGGCTCCATAAAACCATTACTATCTGAGCAAATGTCTAGTTCACACCCACCCACCCACTCTCATACATATACCATATTGTTATGTCTGGCTATAAATACAAATCAGGGAGCCAGGGATGTAAGGAGGTTGAAGAAACCGAATGATAAGGGGTTAAAAGACACCAATTAATCCTTCAAAACAGAGGAGGACTTTTTCCCAGTCTGGCTCAAACAGTCTGCTAACTAAAGTAGCAGATGAACAAAAACAACAACAAAAAGATTTTATCTATGAAGAAAAGCTGTAATTCTGATCTGATGCTTTCAAAACACATTGGGGTGCGACAACAATCAGAAAAATCTTTATGAAGTTAATTGGTTCTAATTATAAATTGCAGCTATGTCGGTCAATTAGATTTGACAAACTGCCCCGTGATATTCTTGCAAGGAAGCTAGTAAAATGTGGGCTGAGTGGGGTACAGTAACTGTTAGGTGGATTTGTAGACGATAAACAACAGTGGGCGCAGGACGAAAACCTTTGACACCCCATTTGTTGCTTTTCCCCAGGATGATGATGGTCTGGATAAAGCCAAAAGACAATGACAGAGATTGTTTTTTTTCTGCTTGACAAATAGGCACTGGGCTGAAATCTGAACATATTGTACAATATCTGAATTTGCCATCGGCAACAAGACCCATTGAACATAATGATGCACTTCCAGTTATATAGCCACAAGAATCTTGGAATTTTACTAAGAATGACACTGAAAGTGAAAATCTTGGCTCTGATGTGGAAGCTCAGTGTGAAGTACAGGACCACGACCCCTTATTTGCAGGACCTGGTTCCTCAACCGGCCCTCATTTGTTAAAGCTAAGGAGGTCTTTTGGTGGTGGGTCAGCACCTTGAAGGGAGACCACCTAGTAGCCCCATGCAAGTGAATTATAGGCATGGAATTATGTACAAAGTGAATACCTGGCGGGATATCCTATGGATATAAAACACTATTATAAATGCATCTGTGGTGATTATTCAATGCAGCGCAACAGATCCAGGTTCCAAGTAGGGTTTTCCTTAAGTCATTCGTCCTCAAGCAGCTTCCCCAGTTTTAAAAGTCATGTGCTGAGCTGCAAAGGGGACTGCAGGAGGAAAATTGCCACCGCAGAAGTTTAATGTGTACACAGTATTAGTTGCAAATGTGCAGTGCGGCTCAATGGATCAGTGCCAAGTTGTTTGAAATCTTAGTCGGGGGGGGGGGGGAGAAACCAGCATTATTGCTTCCCTCTTCCACATTATATATACAAACACTCTTTTCAATCTTGTATCGACATGCAAAGAAATAATCTGGTGAGTTACATTTCCCAAACTGTTTGCTTTTGCTTTAATCACATCTCCGATGCAGAAATGATTCTGTGTTTTGATGAAAGAAATGAAATTGGTCTCTGTTCTGTTATCATGCCTGCTTTCTACCCCAATCGTTTGACAAGAATCGCAACCCACTCTCCGATTTAGCATTCCCTGAGAGAGTCGCTCAGTCACATACCCATTATACGAGAGCAGATATTTTCCATGTGCGGCGGTCTGTGTGTTAATGTTTACTGGAGGGGGACGGGGATTACAGCAAGCCTGGACCCTGCAAGTCCATTTAAATAGTTCAGTTTGAACATGGGAAGTCTATTAAGGTGGACTGTTCGACTCGTTAAACTTTGTCAAAAGGCTCTTAGCCGTTTTCTGTGCAGAGGGAGCTGAGCAGGCGTGCATGTTTGAGGTCATACTTCGAGCCAGAGTGTAAGATGATCCTCCTTTGCCGAGCCCATCAGGCATCCCTTCGCACAGGGACACACTCACTCACACACATTCCACTCAAGTCATCTTGTGAAAGGCTGCCGGCTTCCAACTTGGCTTGAATGTACAACCTTAATAAAACACGCCGAGGTCTCCGAGAAAATAGCAGTTCAGCCGCAGCGAGGGTAGGAGAAAGAGGCTGGGGTATGCCTGGGCAGCTGACTCAAAGAGGCTGCACGCTGAAGTGTAACAGAGAGGAAACGATAAATCCCGGCTACTATGCAATAAATTGCTCAAACTCCGGCTAAGGAAGCAATCAGCTCTGGTGCACTTAGTCACTGTTGTTGTTGTTGTTGTTTTTTAAAGTCACCATTTATTATCTGAATCTTCTTCACTTTTCTTTACCTTCTCTGATCCCCCAAAGGGATTTCAAAAGACAAGGTAAAGCATTTTTTTTTTTAGAAAAAAAGAAAAGAAAAGGAAGGAAGGAAAGGGGTTGGGTCAAAATTGTCTCTAAGAGCAGGAAAGGAAAGGGACAGTAACATGACCATATTCCTTCAGCTTGCTTTCCTTGCTACACTTCTGACTCACCTAGGCTGCAGCAATCCACGCCGGGGTCCAGAGTCCAGTGCCAGAAGATATAACCGGATTCAGCATGGACAGTGCACCTACACGTTCATCCTTCCAGAACAGGATGGGAACTGTCGTGAAAGCACCACCGACCAATACAACGCGAACGCTCTCCAAAGGGATGCCCCCCACATGGAGCAGGATTTCTCTTCCCAGAAACTGCAGCGCTTGGAGCATGTGATGGAAAACTACACTCAGTGGCTGCAAAAGGTAAGCACTCCATTTTTTTCCGATTCCTCGCACACCTTGCTCAAGTTGTACATGCTGTTCTGACTGAGATGTTATATTGGCTGGGCGAACATTGCGTACGTGCTGCTAAAACGGTGACAGCATCCTCTCTGTTGTGGAATAAAGCAAATCAAGCTTGGTGCATGTTTCTTGAAGATTCCCCCCACTCCTAAAACAAAAAAAAAGTTTGATCTCTTTAGTTTCCGAACATAAAAGCTGAGGCTTATAATAATCCGTTAGGAACTTCTGAAGAAATACATTTTATATCATGTGCTGGTAGCTTATGATCAGCGAACCTGTTGACAAGCTAAAACAGGCTCTTAAAAAATAAACTGCATGCAATATTTTAAGCATGATCTTGGTGCTCATGGAAATAAGTATTGCCAGTTGGTTAGATAAGAGATTAAGCATTATGGATCTATAAAGAGAACTGTAAAGGTTTTTTTCTTTTTTAACCCTCATAAAAATAAAACAGCTTGCATCTGATATCAATATCAAGTTGAAATTTATTCCAGTAATAAATTTCAACACTGCAGGGGATAACTGATGAATGGTTTAAGGGTAATTACGGTAATCGTTCAGTACATTGTGCCTCATCAATAAACCACTGGACTCCTTCCATTTTTATTTTTATTTTGGTTCAGCTAAGAAAAAGTTGATACAAGTTAGGAATGTTATAAATGTGCTTAGTCAGAAGAATAATGCTGGAAGTTTTAGATGAGACATGCATGCACCTTAGTAGAACTGTGGCTAGGTAAAGGGTTTGCTGTTTTTGTTTACACTGGATTGTCATCTGAAAAGCAGCTTTGAATCACACATCCCAATACATCACCTAACTAGTGATTTGAAAACTTTTTGGCCATTCTCTGTGCCTGAATATTCTGAGGATGCCTTTCTACATTCTATGTACAATCCATTCCTTAAATATACTTAAATGGTCACTAAATGTGGTTCATTATATCACGACAGTGATAATCAGCTGGACAGGTGGATTTCATGAGCACAATCCTGCACTACAATCCTATGCACCTCGTCTCAGAAGTAAGACCCGCTGTTTTCAGTTGGATTTACTCCTACATAATGGTGCATAGAATTGCAGCTTTAAAGCTTTCCAGAGAAGATCTGCCTCATTTAGACTTATGAATGTGTTGCTACTGCAGTTTTACTGGTTCAATGTTGCATTTTAACCTGAAGAATAGCTTGGGAGGAACCCACATGGCTTCCATGTTTTGGTGAAATTGTACAAAATTTGATGTGCTGTGCTGTCTTTTACTCTTCATAGGCATGCATCACAATTCCAAGTGCATTTCCCTAGAGATAAGACTAATCTAATGCATTGGGAATTCCTCCCAGTTAAAGGTTTGTAGGATTCCAGCCTGTGCCTCCAACTTCATTGAGAGGAGACTTAAAGTAGTGGAAACGCTTTTATAATAAACACTTGTTCTATTCAGCATGGCTTTGAGCAAACCTTATGCAGGAGAGAAATGCCTGCATTCACAAATCCTCTGTGTTCACGTGTCATTGCTTCTCTTGTGGAAAGAGCTGCTCTGCTAGAAGGCATCTAGGATGTTGTTCCGTGTTCTGCATTTGACCACTAGGGACTGAACTAAGCCCACTGTTTTATTTGCAATCTGCACAAGGGGGGGGGGGCGAGAGAGGGGGAAGTAAGGGAGGGAAAAAACCTACTTCTGAATTGCAGTTGGCACCCAGGCTCCTAGAGAAGATAGCCACTGGCTGACTCATCACCTAAGTGGTATGTCTAGGGGGAGCACCCTTCAGTGGTTATTGGAATTTTGAAATTAGGCAAAAGGTTTCCTGACGGGTCCATTCAAAGCAGCAAACAAACAAAGGTCACATCTCTTTCTGTGTCACAGAACAAAATAGCCTGCTTCCCAGCATTATAGGTGGTGGTGCAAATGACTCTTCTATTGGGCTCCATTATAACATACCAGCACAATCCATTTGCTGCATTGTTGGTGTCAATGTGGGCCATTTATATTGCAATTCCTCCTTTTTAATAGCAAAGACTATATTACAGTTCCAAAGCTGAGGTTTATGCCCCCTAATTCCCTCCCCCCAAACCCCGTCTGTTCAAATAAGTTTCTGTTTGAGCAATATATTGCCACAGACAGAGTAAATGAGAAATATTACTAGTCCCATGGCTATGACCCAAGCGCAGTATTAGAACTGCTTTAAGAATCTGGGAAGATATATATTTATATTCACAGTGCTTGTGTCTATGTGGGTTCCTGAGCCTTTCCTGTAATGTATCACATTCATTAAAACTGTTCGGCATTAGAGCACGTCAGGACATATTACTCCTATTAGAACATATCCCAAACACAGTCTTGTACACTTTGGAAAGCAGGCTGGCAATGTAAGAAAGGATTGTAGTATGCATTGTTTAACGAGGAAGTTGACATTGCGAGGGTCTTAGTTTAGCTAATCTGGAAGAAATGTAGCCTGATCTTTCTTTAACAAAAAGCGAAAGGCAGCAGATTTTGGGAAACAAAATAAATATTTTTAAACCCCTCTTAAAATGAACTGTCAGTTTGAATCTTTCTGAGGATTGCCTTGTCTGAGTTTCTGCATTGTCCAATGACATTTGCATATTCAGGGTTGGTGTGGAAGTGATTGGCTGGAGGAAGACCCAGCTTAGCAATGAGGGGCTCTTTTGCCGAAACTACCAGAAGGTGATGGTTTGGGAAGCCTATTTAGCCCTTTTCCCTTGAAGGATTTGTTTTAACAAGGGTAGCTTCCTTCGTTATTTAACCCTGGGCTGCGCATCTGCCATGTTTGTTCTAACAGCGTCAAACAGACTGCTTACTGGTTTTTATTCCTTGCAATAACTGGCTGTCATGCAGCATTGAAATGCTTAGGTTGTAATTTCAGTGTTTAAACATTGTCAAAGAATAACTGACATTTTCAGCTTGGCAACTATTCAGGATTTTTTTCCCATGCTGAGCGAATGTATGGTATCAATAGAAGTACAAATAGTTTCACAACTGTGCAGATGTATGTATGGTATCCATTTAGTCCTCTCTCAACACAATGCTTGAGATTGCTGTAGGTGGATGGAGTTGCACATCGGCATAATGCGGCCAGCATTATTTTCTTTTTTTTAAAAAAAGAACCTCTCTCAAAACCGTTTCTAGCAAAAGTGTTTGGCATTCAATACCCAACAGTTAAAAGCATAACCTTGTTATTTTTTTTTTTAAAGAATTTTTTATTGCTTTATTTTCCAAGGTCAGAATACATCGTCCATGACACAACAAAAGCAGTTTTACAAGAAAAAAGAAGATTTAAATATAAGAAAATTCATTTTTCCAAATCTTTTTTTCATCATCTACTGGACTTCCCCACATCCTCCATCCCTGCATTCTTTACAATAAAAGTGAACAGCAAATTAATACCTTGTTTCATGTGTTTTTGTACTTTCATCTAATTATTTACTCTGAAGTTTGAACTTTTCTCAATCATAACTTAATTTCAATCATTTCCGATTCTCAATACGGAAGCATGTTTTTCTCAAAACTTAGCAAATTTTCAACATTCATATAACTTATAATGTTTTTGTAAATACTCCTTAAATTTTTTCCAGTCCTCTTCCACTGCCTCTTCTCCCAGGTCTCGGATTCTGCCAGTCATTTCAGCCAATTCCATATAGTCCATCAGTTGCGTATGCCACTCTTCCAGCGTGGGTAACTCCTGTGCCTTCCAGTATTTGGCTATAAGGATTCTTGCTGCTGTAGTTGCATATAAAAAGAAAGTTCTATCTTTCTTTGGCACTCTCTGGCCTACAATGCCCAGGAGGAAGGCCTCTGGTTTCTTATGAAAGGTATACTTGAATACCTTTTTCAACTCGTTATAAATCATTTCCCAGAAAGCCTTCACCCTCGGGCAAGTCCACCAGAGATGAAAGAAAGTTCCTTCAGCCTCCTTACATTTCCAACATTTATTGTCAGACAGATGATATATCTTTGCAAGTTTGACTGGGGTCATGTACCACCTGTACATCATTTTCATAATGTTTTCTTTTAAGGCACTACATGCCGTAAATTTCATACCGGTGGTCCATAACCTTTCCCAGTCTTCAAACATAATGTTGTACCCAATATCTTGTGCCCATTTTATCATGGCTGATTTAACAGTCTCGTCTTGAGTATTCCATTTAAGCAGCAAGTTATACATTCTTGAAAGCACTTTCGTCTTAGGCTCAAGTAGTTCCAGCTCTAATTTTGATTTTTCCACCTGGAAACCAATTTTTTTGTCCTTTTTAAAGATCTCTAAAATTTGGGCATAATGAAACCAGTCTCGCACCTTTCCTTTCAATTTTTCAAAACTCTGCAACCTCCAGGTGTCACCCACTCTTTCTATTATTTCACAGTATTTTGCCCAGCCACCCCCCATATTAAGTATTTTTGTGGCCTTAGCCTCCACCGGTGATAGCCACCTCGGAGTCTTGTTTTCAAGTAAGTCCTTATATTTAGTCCAGACATTAAACAAAGATTTCCTGACAATATGGTTTTTAAATAACTTATGAAGCTTTACCTTGTCGTACCACAAATAAGCATGCCACCCAAATGCATTGTTAAACCCTTCCAGATCTAGGACATCAGTGTTTTCTAACAGAAACCAATCTTTCATCCAGCAGAAGGATGCAGCTTCATAATACAACCTTAAGTCCGGCAGGGCAAATCCCCCTCTTTCCTTTGCATCTGTTAGTATTTTAAATTTTATACGGGGCTTTTTGCCCTGCCAGACAAACTTCATAATGTCCCTCTGCCACTTTCCAAAACACTCCACTCTGTCCACGATCTGCAGGGCCTGAAACAGAAACAACATTCTTGGCAATACATTCATCTTAACTGCTGCAATTCTTCCCAACAAGGAAAGTTTCAGTCTTGACCAGATTTCTAAGTCCTTTTTAATTTCAGACCAACATTTTTCATAATTATCTTTGAACAAATTCAAATTTTTCC